AAAAAAAAAAAAAAAAAAAAAAAACACATCATAGTAAAATTAATACCTTCTCCGCTTCGCATCGAAGCTAAAAAATGTTTTAAATGCTAAAGCATTGTCACAAAAATTAAATAATATATATGTTGTGACACAAAAATTTTAAATTTGATTTCGATGGAAAACTTTTCTATCAAACTTTTACTTTTTAGTAGTACTACATTTTTGTTCTCACTTTTTTATTAAATAATAAAATACGTTATATAAGATTTAATTTGATGCAGGTTAAATAGACGTAAATTAACAATAATTTTTCAAAATTAAAAAGAAAAACAGAATTTTATACATTTTTTTGGCCATGTTGAAAACCCTCTCGTATTTATATATTTATTAAATTTTCCAATAAAGTGTATCGTTAGGAAGATGGTCTACATATCAAAATTTGTATTCAATTCATTTCTTTAGTTAGTCTCAAAACAAAATGTACATTAAAGTAAATATTTATAATATCTCAGCTTAGCAAGGTAAAAAATAAGTAACGATATTTTTATTTAAAAACTAAAAAGGGTTTGTAGAAAACTTTTAATTAATAAATATATATAATCATCTTCATTAAACCTTAAGCTGAATCTTTGAATCCATTTTATTTTTTAAAACGATTCGAGAGGTTGCTCCAAATTGTTCCAGCGTTATTCGTATTTAATGAATTTGATATTTTCAAAATGTTACGAGGTGGTTCTTTACTACAACTAACGATTTTTTTTTTTTTTTTGAAAATATAAGAGGTGGTTTTTTGTTACAGCAATAATAATTCTTAACGAAGACCTTATCAGAAAAATTAAATTTTGAACTATCATTAACTATAATTTATTTAAGGGCTACCCTATTTTTCATTACCATCATATTTCGTTAAATAAAAAATTATTATTTTATAGAAAAATATTTTATTAAACAAACTAACATCTGATAAGACCGATTAAAATAATCTGTTAAACATTTGGTAAAAGAAATTTTTAAACTAAAATCAAGAAGTTGCACAAAAAAATATTGAACTGAAGTTTTTAAAACTTTTTAATGATTTAGTCATTTCATTGTGACTTAAACTATAATTTTAATTTCTGATATGTAATGCGACATGAAACTCTTCACGTGTTTTAGCATTTAATTAAAGGTATTATTTATAATTTACTAAATTCAAAATAATTGTTATTTTAATTATTGTAATCACTCTTAAAGTTACGTTTATACAAATAGTGCCGTTGAGGGCGTTATAGAAATTTACGTATCTCACACTTAATAGTGGAATTTAAAAAACATGGGCGAAAACTATATTTATCTTAGCCCCTCATAAAATTAATTTTCATTGTATTAATTATAAGTTCACTGAATTTTGGGAGGGATAATTTTATATTTAAAGACCTCCCAACTAAATGCTTTCCCGTCATAATTGTCTCCATTTACTATACAATACTAATGATTACAATTAAAGTTTTCTAAAAACCTTGTTTTTAATTTTTAAATGTGTTTTTAATTGTTTAAAGATTTTAAAGAATTTCTATATTTTTTATTTCTTTTATTATTTTTTAGAAGAATATTTACACTCTGGAACAATTAAATTTTGACGTCGGGAACAACAATTCCATTTGCATTACTTAAATACGGACTTGCCTCTATTCAACAGTCACAAATTAAAAATATGACTTAACTTATATAATCGTTAATATAAAGTTTACTAATACAATCGTCGCCCAGTTGAGTTCAAAATAATAATGTTATGATTTCTGATTTTTTTGAAATAAGAAAAATATATTTAAACATAATACATATATTTGAATATAATTAAGTACACAGATAAATTTTATTAAAAATTATAATGTATTAGCTAAAATAGCTATGTTGATAAACTTTCAACAAATTTTAACAGTCATGAGAATTAAACATTACATTACATTTAAATTATTCAAGTTGGAATAAAATTATGTAGTAAAGAGTAAAAAACTACTTGACTACAAACTTGACACTGTAGTACCTGACAATTAACTTTCGATTTTTAAACGATATGATGGTGCATTTATTTTTAATATAGCTGAGCCTTATTATTGAGTATTTAATTGAGTCATAGCCGTCAAAATTTTCACTTTCGACTAGCCAGTTGTAAATTATAATAATTGTATTATGAGAAAAAGAGAGGAATTCGGCAATAACATTTAGTTAACTACAGGATGTTGGTTAGTTAGCGTTTCCAGAACTCCTTTTCTCAATCTCTTATAAAAAGATCCGGTAAATTAATCAACGTTTAACACTTCCAACGCTATTTATCATTAAAACATTTAAAGGAACTAATATGTTTGTTACTATTCATCATTGGCAACTGCTTTTTCTTTACACATAACGCAGTATAAAACACATAAGTAATATGTTGCACGGAAATCTAGTCTATCATTCATTATTAAGAATTTATAGTCCTCTGGATTCCAAAATATCCAGTGACCAATTCGTAATTGTAATGTTAGTTATAAAACATGTTCAATGGAAAAAAATTAAATACTTATGTCACATTACATGTGAAACTCAGATCAAAAGATATTCAATGTTATGAGTTGCATCCATCATGTGGATAATTTAATAAATCTCTTGAAAAATCATAAAAATTGATTTACACTAAATACGCTTTAACTACCACAACAAATGTTTATTATGGACTTTAGTAGAAATAACGTTTACGCTACAAGTCAATTATTAACATGCGAGTGAATTTAAACGTTACAAAATAAAAATTTACCGATTGAAATTTGTTTTATTGTAATAAGTTAGTTGTTAATTATCAATCCTCAACAAATTGGTTAAAAGCAGACACCCTTTTCTGCGTATTGAATATTTGATCGGCTAAGTTTAAACGTAAATGATGTAAAAACTTTATTAAAATGAAATACCTTCTTACTTTAATCTATTAATTATTGTTTTGTTAGTTAATTTTCGCATTTCAATGGTAACAATGATTATGGAAAAATAATTAAATTATAATAATACATTAAGTTGTGACTTTTCACACTTTAAGAGTAATAATAATTCATGGTTTTTGATGTTTTTTTTCTAAGTAAATGGCTATCTGCAAGGGTTAGTTTATTAAGTGATTGATTATTGGCTATTGATAAAATCATTTTTACAAAGGTGTGGTTTATGGTAAGACGTTGACAGGAATGAAGTGGAACAGATAAAGTGGCGGCGTGTCTAAAGTGGCGCCCGGTCCATAATCACTGACTACGCCAATGTTATTAAGACGGAAAAAAGGTAATAACCAACGTATAAAATATGAAACATAAAAAAAAATATTTAACACACCAGAAAAACAGTGTGAGAGATGAAACATAGAAGAAAGACACGTGAAAAAGTGCGAGTGCGTTTCGGACACGGAAGACTAATCACGGCGGGACGCGGTAAAACAACAACAACAACAACAAAAGGTGTCGTGTAGTGATAGAAAGCTATGGACCATTGGTACGGCGGCAGCAGTCAACGGCGAGAGAGATAGCACACAATCGTCATCAGAAGGCAAACAATCCGTCAGTTGAGTGAAAACTGTCAAATTAAGAAAAGCGGTTAGCGCACTGTCGCACGCCACCACTGCCGAACAGAAGAAACTTTCCTGCGGTTCTGGTCTGTTGGTCTCTCCCACCTTGCACAATAGCCAAGCCCTTGCCATTCTCCCACCGCTTAAACGCATCGGGTTTTGCGATGGGCCGTAAAGCGGGCGGTGCGTTGGTGGTTTTCCGCCGAAACCTTTTTGTTCCTGGCGGCCCGGGCGGTTCTCTCCCGAGACGGGATTTTGGTGTGTCAGTGACGAATAAAACCTCGGACGTGCGTTATTTAACGACTACTAAGTGATCCGTCGCCGTGGGACTATACACGTGCATTTTAGTACTACCAAACTTACCAAGTCATCTCGAGTGTCCCACGCACATTGGCAGCACATCATCCAAGGTAAATGAAGAATACAATTTAATATTTTTCGATTAAATAAAATCGTTGATGACATTTTAATACACTTAGAAAGTATATGTCATAAAATGTTTGATTTTTTTTTTTTCAATAAAATGCTGTTCAAGAAAGTTATTTCAACTTATTTTCTACGTCAAATAAAGTTAATAGTTAATTGAAGTGTATGATTTTCATAACTATATTTTAGACTTCGAAATTATCTGATTTTGAAACGAAATTCAATTATTACTTAGTTTAATAATTTATCAATTATAATAATTACTGTAAACATCAATAAATTTTTATTTTAAATAACGGCTTGATAAAAAACAAGTTTATTTATTGTTATACATCAGAGATTTTTGATCCTTACTTAGAAAAATTCATAGAGGCAAAATATTACAATTATTGGTGGTATTTCGACAGTATAATGTGGTGAAGTGAATAAATTTATATTTTCAATATTCAAAAATACAATAGAAATAGAAAAAATTTAATTCAGTTTAAATTTTAGATAAAACTTTTGCATCGTAAAAATAGTTGAAATAATTAGATACTTGTAAGTGATTTCAATGATATTTTGCACATTTTTCTATGATATTAAAAATCACATGTAATGTTAATTATTTACAATAAACAACTTAACGATTTTACTAGTTTCTGAAGTAAAAAAATTATCTTTTTCGTAATTGTATAGTGTTTACATCAGTTTCTCAAAGGGGTCGGACAATTTTTTTGTAAAATCCTCAAGTTATTATTATGAATGTTGATAGATACACGATAGTCTGACTCACGTTTGTTTTCACTTGTATTGTCTCCAGTTATAAAAATTAATATTTGACATGTTTGTGTAAGAAACGTATCAAACCAAATGTACTACTGTACTTCTAATTGGCGTAACCTGGAAATTGTCAGAGTCAACGAGATCGAGCGTTCTTTTTCTTTTTTTGTCTTGGTTTGAATCTGTTACAGTTAAAGAAATAGAAAGTACTTTCACCATTTCCGCGCTTCAATAACTGCGTGAATCCAGCAACGAATTTTCAATTTAATGTATTCTTTCTCATGCAAATCTTCTAATTGTGTAAACAGTGTAATACACGAAAAAAAAGTTTCTTTGTTAAATAATATATTTTAACTCAAATTTTTTTCTCATTACTTTAACAAAGTAATTAGTTATATAGTATTTATCAACAATATTAGAACTCCTGTGGTGTATTTTTTATTATTTATTTCTATTTGTATTAAACTTTCAAATTTCCATTGGTAAGCTTTTATAGGTAAATTAGATTGGGTATAATATTTGTTTTTAAATTCTATTATACATATTTTAATAAGTAAAAATGATATTAAAATTTAAAATTAAATTAAATAAATTATAAAAAAATATTTTAAACAAATATGAAATAATTAAAATAATTATGTTATTTTCAAATATTAACATCGACATTTTCATCAATAAACACAATTATAGAAAAAAAGAAGTAGTTAAAAAGTTCATCTAAAATAAAATTATTGTATTTTAAACATAGTGTTGTAGATTATCAATTAATTTTGATTTATAAATAAAAAAATATTTTTAAAGTTATTTTTGTTAATGTTACAGGGTACAAATTTAACCAAAGGATGTAAACATTTTTCCATAATTCTTGTTACATAAAAAAATTCAAAATGTTATTTTTGGGCGTCATCATTTTGCAAGCTATTTTAGTATCAGCTAACTCTGAATCACGATCTATCCAATCTGTTGCTCCAAATTCACCGACTAACTATATCATTACATCTAAACCGTTCACTGTTAAGGATGATGCAAATGCAGGAACGATTAAATGGAGACGTGATACGATCACTGGTGCATCATTAATTGGTGCATCCGATCCAGCAAAGTTGAAATATTCAATTGAGTGTGCTGATAACAACGAGTGTGCTAATATTGATTTGGGTGGTTCATCCGATGCTACTTTTAAACCATATACGCAAGATGAATTAAACAGAATACTTAAACGTTATGGCGAAGCTACTCCAGAAGCTGAATCTTCTGATAAAGTTCTATCTTATGATGATAGTGGAAACCAAGATAAATCAAAAGCTACGTGGAATTTAGCTGACTCACAACAAGGTCAAAAAAATCCATATGATGATCGTCAGGGATGGGTAACATTAGAGCCTGTTGCTTGGTCTTCATCACATATACAAAAATGGGAGCCCAATAACAGACCAACATGGCCCCCTCCACCACAAGATAACCATTCTCCTAGTTATTCACCATGGGCCAATAATAGACCTATTAATAGACCCAGTTCTAGTTACCACCAACAACAATCACAATCTGAGTGGACTACTGAACGACCTTGGATTCGACCAACATATAATTATGCACCTAGTACTCCCCATGTATCTCAATACCAAAAACCGGTAAGTTCGCAAGGGCCACAAAATTACTACGGAGGTTGGAATAACGCAGAACCTGATATAATAACTGATGGAAAACCCGGACAATTTCCCGCAGATGTCCATAAACCATGGAATGGAGATTATGGTCAGCAATCTTATGGCCCAAGACCTTCAGAGGTAGAAGGAGATGGACAGTGGGTTCTTTTATCAAGTACTAAAGGATATTCGATACCACACCGTCCTAATCGAAGTTTACAGAGTAGATCAATGTCCTTTGATACAGTCAACAAGATGGGAAAAACAAATAATCAATATAATGAAATAAAAAATGAAAGATTGACAGAAATGAAAAGTCAACCTATCTCATCAAAAAGGACTGTACGATTAATGGTTCTGCCACCCGACAAGGATTCTCATAACACAACTACTTCGCATAATGGAATGATTGAAGTCGATATATCTAGAAAGTCTGTTGATCAAGAACAAAAAGAGTTCGCAGCTCGAGCTCTCAAGGAAAGCGAAAATGATGTGCAAGTATTTTCAGATAGATCAGTAAAGTCAAATAATGATCACAAGGCTGTACTTGCTGCAGTTGGTGCTGGGATGTTACCTGCAGCTACTATGGCTATGTTTTTACCCATGATGGTCAATAGAAAGCGACGTGATATATCTTCACGGCCACAAATAATTTTACATCATCATCATATGTTTCCTAGATAATTATATATGTTTTAATCAATTATTTATATACTGTTTCCTTTAAAAAGCAGATTATGTTCAATATGATTTGTATATTATTGTTAACATCTTGCGTACATTTTGAGCATTTTTATTTATCTATAAAGCATACTTATGTAATTTATTAGTTCAATTTTGAAAAATTCATCTAAACTTATTTAATTTATTTTCCCATATTTTGTAAATAATTAATTAAATATTAAGAACACTAAATATTTATTATAAAGAGAAATAAAGTAAATAGACAAAGAGAAGTAAAACATACAGTACATTATTAAAAATTTATTTTAAAAAATTATAGTTAAAGCATAAATTTATAAATTAAGATTTATTATATACAAGAAAATACATAATTATAAAAATCTACGTAGTATTTCAAATGTAAAACTAATAATATGTAAGTAAACATCATATTTAAAAACATACTATTATTTTCTCTTAAAACATATTATGAATCTGTGTGATTAGAATATGTTTATAGATCTCAAAACTTAAAATTCAAAATATTTCTTACATTTTTTAAAAAATATTTTGTCAGGTAAGTTTTTAATCTTCAAAATATTGTAAGAGAAAATTTCATTGCAATGTACATTATCCCATCAATTCACCATATTAAATTTTACAAACAGAAAATAGGAAATTTAGTTTGATAGGATTCTATGCCTTATTGATCTTCTTTGACGTTGTTCAGTAGATTTTGAAGGGCTTTTTTCTCTCTGATTTTGTTTTATTACAGGCTCGCTTGTCTTATTAGATTTTTGAAGACTCCTTACCATTTCTGTCATTCTTGTTTGTACAGCATTAACATAATGTGTTACACTCGCAGCTGTATTTCTAAGAATTTCTATTCCCAATTTCAATTTAATTTCAGCAATTCTTTTTAGAATTTCGATTAGTGAATAAGGATTTGTTGATGGTTCAGTTATATTATTTTGAGTTGTAGTCTGACTTGTAATTGTAGAGGTTATTTCTGCACTATTATTCTGAGATTCAACTTTTTTTATATATGTAGTTTCATCAAGTTTGGAAGTAGTTTCTTCAGGTAGTTGAGCATCGATTTCGTTTTGCTCGTCTACTTGGCGTCTTATTCTTAAACTTCTTGGTCCATGTTCCATTGTCATGGTTTGTCGAACATTTACAGAAATTTGCTCAGAATCACTCGGATTATAAAATTTAGGAACACCTTGGAGAGCAGAAAATGTAGGATCTGAAGGAGATTTCGAACTTGATGTTTCTTCGTTATGAGGATTATCATAGCTGTAATTTATACCAACAGATTCTTTTGGTACATCTTGAACATAACCAGGGTATTTGGGCACTTCAAATGATGATGGGTTTTCATTGTAGGTGGATCCTTGTATTTCCGAAGAACTTTCATATTTTGGTTTTTCATATGCGTTAGATGCATCAAATTTCAATTGTTCGTAATGATGATTTTTAAAAGTATGTTCTTGGTTTTCTTGAGTTTCCTCGAAGTTTGGACTTTGTGATGATTCTAATGATGAATAAGATACTTTTTCTTGGGGGACACTTATATCAATAGTTGAGTATTTGGAGGTGTCTGGTTCAGAATATTTGATAGCTTCTGGTTCAGAATATTTTGTGGATTCCGGTACAGAATATTTAGTTGCATCTAGAGCAGTGTATTTGGGGCTGTCAGGAGCAGAATATTTTATAGTATCTGGTGTATTATACTTTGAAGTATCTGATACAGAATATTTATTTGTTTCTACAGCTGCATATTTATTTGCGTCGTTTACTGGATATTTAGAATTGTCAACTGTATATTTTGGAACTTCTCGAACAGGATACTCAGCGTGATGATCAAATGATGGCTTGTATTTTTGAGTTGGAGGTAAAACACCATCTGGCCGTTCTCTGCTATAAGGATTGTGTCCATAGGACATTCCCGATAAAACTTGACCAAACACTTGTTCTTCTGGTCGAGAATTGTCTGTGTCAGGTGGTACATATCCTGAGTTATGACTATGACTGTGAACATGAGGATCATTCCTTCTTAGTGGTACTAAGGGTACGGCAGCCCCTCCCATTGGAGAGTATAACAACAGGCCTGCTAAGCCTGCAGTCAACATCAATCCAACTAAGCCAACTCCAACGCTCGGCATAACTTCACGAGCCAAATAGTTATATATTGTAGTTGATATTGGTTTGCCTGATGGTATTTTAGTACTTTGTTCGTCAATTTTACTTTGAGCACCATCATTTGATGTTTTAATTGGCCTACGTTTATTTTTATTCTTCTTTTTCTTTTTCTTTTTTAAAGAAGTATTTTTTACAGTTGAACTTGTGTTATTAGTTGTGGTATTATTACTTTCAGTTGTGCTTTGTAATTCAAATGTTGTTGTTGAAATATGACTGGCAGAAACTGTTGATACAGTTAAAGGGGCTTCTGTTGTTGATGTATTTATTGGCTTTGAAATAACTACAGCTGTTGACGCTATTTTAGTTGATTGAGGTTTTTCTTGTGATATTACTTTTCTCGTATTATTTGCCGATGGTCTTTGTCTTGGAGGTACATGTGGAAACGTTACAACAGGAGTCCCAAACCTTGTATTACTTTCAACTGGTAAAATTTCTGGAAGTTGAGTAGTTATCTCATCGATTTTTTCTTTCATTACTGGCGTAGATGGCAATTTTCCTACTATAACGGGTGTTTTATTTTTAAACTTAGAATCTTGCAGTTTAACAGATGATTCTGTGTCAGGAATACGTGTGGTAGTTATTTTTTCTGTCGTAGGTTTTCTTTTTTTGGTGCTAGTTTCATATGGTTGAATAAATGAAGACGATGTTGCGTCAACAGGCTTAGGTACTTTTTTAATACTTGCCAAATTCATAGGCGTAGGGGAAGATGATTCTCCGCCTAAAAGAACCCACGTAGATAAATCTCCAGTTGGTTTTGTTGATCCATCGGTTGTTATTTTATAAGTATATGTACCAACCGAATGGACTTCTTCATCGGTAAGTACTGGTACAGCTTCACCTTTGGGGGACAACTCAAAATTTTGTGGCGGTCTAACATCCACATTGTTGGATACTGATGTTTGTAAAAGTTGATCAGAGACTGTTTTAATCGATTCACCCATTAATGAATTTTTAGTAGTATGAGATCGGCCATCACTTGGTGCTGTTGAACTCTCGAAGTTAATAATGGATGGTATTGATATTCCTTCGTTCCTAAAAACAAATGATAATTTTTAGTAATATTTCAATACAATAGAGATTAAAATAAAGGGTTCAAAATACAAATATTTTCTGTAGCTTTATTTTATTTATTTTATTTTACGCATCATTTATATACGTATAAAATATTACATACAAAATATGCACAATTAAAAATATATTTTCACAAAATAATACATCGTGTTAACGTCATCACAGCCTGTAAATTAATTAATAAATCATAAATTATAACTAAAATTTATCTAGATCAATATTTCAATTTTAATTTACATAAGTTTATTAACTAATTATAATAATAAGAAAACACTCTCAATTACTAAACCATGGTTAATTAAAAAGGATACAAGGACTGACTGCATAATGATTAAAAATAGTCAAAATATCATATAATAGTTATTATGAAGTGGTGGTAAGTTTTGCTGATGACATTTTTTTTTTTTTTCACTAATTTATATCAAAAATTCTATATAGTTCTTGTCATAGCCACACTCTGGGTATTAGCCAAGGAAAAAAGAAAGATATTATTGCTAAACCACTCGTTATTATTATTGACATTGGAGGAAAAAGCATTGCCCAAAATGTCATAGCTAATGGCCCAAAAATATTTAAAGATGTAAGTAGGGTAATGGCATAATCTAGGAAAGTATCTGAACTAGATGATGTTGACGCAGTTGTTACTAAACTTGAACATACTTTTGAAGCACCTCTACATTGAATTACATCTGTCACTGTCGGAGTATTTCCTTCTCCACCATTACCTGAGCCCCCTGTTGATCCTGCAGTTGCTAATGCTGTAGATCCTCCTGCTATACCAGCACCTACTATGCCTCCAGTTGCAATTGCTGCCCCTATACCACCAGCAGCAGCAGCAGTAGCTGCTGCTGCACTACCTCCACTACTAGCACCAGTCGCACCCCCTACACTTGTTGGATCACTTTCAATTATAGGGTCGTTTAAAGAAGGATCTTCTGCTTCTGGATCTATGTCATCTAAAATTACTATAGTGGGTGGTGGACTCCCAATTGATGTTGATTGAGTAACACTAATAGGTGTTATAAAAGTAGGACCTTGATATTCATTAGGGGTGATAAAAGTAGGAGCTTGTAGTTCTACAGGAGTCATAAAAGTTGGCCAAGCACTATTAGGTTTAAGAGAAAGTTCGTATTCCGAATAATAATTCGAAAATGATGGACGAGTCGTTGTTGGTTTTTTATCATTACTGGGAAAGACTAAAGGTGTCTCTTGCCAATTTCTTAACGGATCATGAGTAGATGTTGGGTATATGGCACCAGATAAAGAAATAGATGGACTTAAATGAGTTACAGGCATTGGTTTTGGTTTTTGTATATTAGTGTAAATTGAAACAGGTAAATACTGTTTATCAGATTCATTTACAAAGTTGTCGTCATCAGAATCAATTGGTATAAATGTATCAGGCAAATTACTGCGACCGGGATTTTTTAATTCATTCAATGAATATTGAATAAAATTCTGAACTAAAGTAGTATCTAAAGGATTAATAAAATTACGTTTTTTTCTTTTAGATGAGTTTAAAAGGAATTGTAGAAAAGATTGGAGTAATGGATCAGGTTTAGTAAATTGAGTGTTTTCGAGTTTATACGAAATGTCCGATGCTTGTGAAATTTTAGAAGTATTTAATAATTTTTCCTGAGATGTTAACAGCCTTGGTACACCCATAGAATAACCTGTGTACCTGTTATTATGGACATCATCTGAAAAAGAAAGAAAATAACTATCAATTTTTTTTATCTTTATTAGTTCTAAATTTTTTTTAATCATATATTAAATAAAAAAATAAGTATTATATATTTCATAATAATAATTTTTTTAAATTAAACAAATAATTAATTCATTCATTCATTTTTGAAATCACTAAATATCTATATTATTTCAAAAAAAAAATGTTTAGTATTAAAAAAGATTAATTTTGAATAATAAACTACTTGAAATTGAAACGAGTACAATGTCATAGAACAATAAATAAAAAAATTCTTTCATCTGATTTAAAAATAAAGTTTTTTCTCAATGGAATATCATAATATACGTCTATAAACCAAGTTACNAAGTTTTTTCTCAATGGAATATCATAATATACGTCTATAAACCAAGTTACGGCAAACTAGATAGGCAGACAATATTCTTGTCTGAACTATTTTAGTTATTTACTCCTCAATTTGAAATTTAATAACATTTATTTTTCTATTATGTTTAATAATTTATAAATATATAAATGATATAAAAAAATATTTTATCTGTTATTTATTAACCTTTTAAATGATTTGATGGTGTACTCTGTGGACGTCCAAAAACACAAGCAAAATCACACGCGAGTACGATCGACAAAAAAACCAACCGACGGTTGATTCTTCTCATTATGACACCACTAACCTAAAAAAAAAATGTACAATACAATAAAGTTACGTGAATAGAAATAATTTAAATCATTTTTTGGGTTAATATCTGTTATGCGTGTAATAATATGAACAAATCTTTTTATGGTAAATATTTATTAACCATATTTTAACCCTATGAGCAATAATATTATAAATAAAAAATGTTTGTTTTTATTTATTGTTTTATAAATTTATAATTTTGGATTAAACATTATAGATATTATAAATTGTTTTAAGTTACACTATAGTTTTTATTAAATTTTCTTGAACTTAAAGTAAACTGTCTAGATAGATGACATTATTCAATTTTTTTAGTAAAGTTATTTTTATATAATGTTAAAAACAAGTTAAATTATTGTAGTATTTTTATAAATTCAGCACTTTTAAATTTACATATTTGATCGGTCTAATAATTTACTAATATGTGTATCAAATTATAATTATAATACTCATAAAAAATGTAATTTTTGTAGAAGTTTGGTTTAATGTATTTATTTCTTTCACTCTTTAGTTAAAATTTCTTTTTTTAATTTTGAAACATCTTAATAAAATTTATTTTAGTACAATGTACCATCTTTCCATTTTTTTGCGATAGGTTTTTGTAAAATAACTCAAATCTTTAAATTGGTTTTAAATTTTTAATAAAATAAAAAGTATCATAAAATCATCAGTTACGACTAGATTATAAAGCAAGCAATTATATTTTTACGTATTTATATGATCAAATAAATGTATTAATGAATATCTAGAAAATTATAAATTACGCACAGATTTTTTTTTTAATTAAAAAATAAACAGTTATAATTTACAAACCCATACAAATTAAGTCTTATTTTATTTTACTTTATCATAAGTGTGGTATTTAAGTAGACCATAAAGCGTATACAATAACACATGAGTTATTATAATAGTATATAAGAAAAATCAGCACATAGCTGTATAATTATATTAATGCTCACATCCTATATAAGTTGTCTAGTTCCAAAAAAACGTATGTGCTAAAAAATTTTTTTTTTAACTTTTTCCTATCTCGTTCACGAATAAATTTGCCCAGGAAATAAAAAAAGAACATTATTTTAGACATACGTCCTATTGCAACTATTCGATTCATATGAAATAAAGACTTAGTATTAAATTTTCAATTATAAGTTAGTTGTTGATAAAAAAAGAAATTAATTTCAATTCAATTTTAAATCAATAATTGTTTAGTTTTATTTATATATATATAAAAAAAACATCAACATTTTATACTATGTTGAGCCTACTTGATAATATATAACACATCTATAACTAACAAACAACTTTTTGGAAAGCGAATGATTAAAGGCAGCCTTCCAATTAATCAACAGAACTTGGATTGGCTAGCAAAAGGTGATGTTGGTGGGGTTTAAGTTACCTAGTATAACTGGAATGTATGTACCGTTATGTTTGCCTCCTCAGATGTAGAATAACATAGTAGCAAACACACGATAGCATAACATATACCCACAAGTGTATATCTAACAGTATAAACACGTTTAAGATATGATCTTGATCATCTTTTTAACGTCACAAGTTCATACATCTCATTAACGTACGCACCTAAATTGTATTTATTAGCCACTTCCAAAAATATGGAACTTGTTTAATTTAATAAACTAAAATTTTAGTAAAATTAAATAATCTAATTTAAAATTTAATATTCAAAGAATTTATATGAGATATTATTTTACAAAATCTTAAAAAAGTTTAAATAATTATGCAAGAGTTATTGTATTGGTCATTCAGAGTTCTCAAAAATTATTGAAGTCGAAATTTTTAATAAATAGAAATGTAACCTAAATGGGTTAGAAATAAAAGTATTCAATCATAATTTTATCATTAAATGTTTACTTTAAATATTATACATTCAAGTTTGATATACGCAAAATACAATTTCAAACATTAATTCATGAAAATAAGTTTCTATCTAGCCTAAACATAATTATATTTTTTAGTATATAAATAAGTATTTAATAAATCATACTATAATAGTAATCAAAGTTATAATATTTATTAATTTTTCTAATATTTTAAATTACAGAAAATAAATGATACAATAAAAAAATATTTTTCATCTGAACGTCGAAGCTAAAACTATTTTACTAAACATTTTGTAAATATTTGAACTACTAAATAAATAAGATTTAACATGTATTTGAATTTAAAATTTAAATATATTCTAATGGAACGTTTAAGAATATTAATTATATTAAAAATATAAGTCATTATTAGTAATTTGAATAAACTATTTAAAACTCCAACTATTTAAGTACGATTTATTTTTTTCAAATATAGCAACTGATGATAGTATCGTAAATACAATTTTATATAAGAATTATTTATAGATCAGTAAAATATAAACTGAACAAATCAAGTATAATCAGTGTATGATATACATCCTGAGTTTTAGATCATTGCGTAATATAACTGCTTTATTACTTCGAAAGTGGTTTTAATTTCCTAGATTTTATTTTGTTTTAAATTGATAATCTACAGGTTTTTGTGTATAGAATACCTCTTGTGAAAACGTAAAAAACTCGTCCAAAAATCCATTACGTGATGAAAAGAAGTGTCCTATAAAACATTAATTTAGTCCAAAAATCACATTTAAGTGAAAAAATGCCTCACATTCTCCACATTAAAGTTCAAATACAAACTTAACACTTTTACATTACACAATTTCTAGTGAAATAAATAAATATCATCGAAATTAAATTAAACATTTTAACGTATTTATTATTTAGATGCCTATAAATAATATTGATTGATAAAGAAATATATCAATAAAATAATTTGTATTTAATTATATTTTTAAACATAGTATTTGGTAATCATCCCAAAATTTGATTAAATATTTATTATTCAGTGTTATCTGGGCCAATTTATCTTTTAGGATAACTAGCAAAAAATTGCAGTAATAATGTGTACGTGCTTAACGAACACATATTATAATGATGGTACACGCAAAGCGCAATGTTCTTATATTTTTAAATATGTGTACAGATAGTTAGATTAATCAAAAATCACGCGTGGTATTTTGATTGGTTAACGCGTTAACACATAAAACTACGAGGAAAAAATATGTAATTATTTCGCATTTGGTCTACTTCTCTATACACGGAGGGGAAATCTAGCGACCGCTTAACTTTTCAGATATTATTCGATTTCCCTGAAATTAATTTGTGTGTTTTATACGTGTATATCAATTAGAGTAAACGCATTTTGTACAATAACTGGTTTGGCCTATACCTATTCAAACGTGAGATGTTACGGTTAATCTATTTCGTTGATCCACCTAGTTTCCCTAGTTTGATCGATTGTTATGCTTTAATTGTTTATAATTTGAATATACGGGTCATGATTTTTTACTGAATGTCGGGCGAGTTGCAATGGTCGTGATTGACTACCGCACTCCGTTACAATTACTCCCAGCAGGTTCTTAGTTATAATTGTTACTGCTATTCTATTTGCGTTTGATATTATTTGCACCTTGGTTTATTTGTATGCACAGACTTAATGTTATAAAAAACGCGGTCAGACTACCGGAAGGTCATTGCCGTGCGACACGGTCCACCAACTTGGTCAATAATGTATTCGGAAAAATATATAAACAATCAACGATTTTATTTTTTATTGCTCTAACGGGCACACGTACGTTCCCTAAAATGTTAGCCAAACCATATAACTCGCCTATTATTTTTTCCAACAGACCTAGACACACATAATAAACCCATACACACTCTTTTACGTTCGCACAAACATTTTTACACGGTCGTTCACATGTAAACACACTTAAATTAGTAGGTAATTGATATTTCTCCAGCGGAACGACCACAAAGTCCCGTAACTCTGAAACCATCATCAGTATGCTGAACACTACACCCAACACTTTAAGGTGGGTCGTCTAAATTTTATTTCAACAAATAAGTCGACCGAATTTCAGTTAATCTGTAGACTTCAGGTCAAATCCTAATTAAAGCTTAAAATACTTATAGACTCTATTGATTCTTATATACAACTCTATGAAATATATTCAAAAGCTATTAGGTTATAAAAACAGGTTTTTTAATTTGTATACAGAATAATGTTTCCTGTCATGTGCAAAATCAATTAATTTTTTTACTTCAAAAGTATTGATTCGCAAATCTTTTTATTAAAATTTTAAACTTCTTTTTTACTCATCTGTAAGATTACTGAAATTGACAAATCATATTTTGAAAAATAGCCTAAAAATTACTGTTAATAAATCCTCGTTATTCAATTAGAATTTTACAATTACTTTAGATTTGTTCAAAATTTCTATGGAAATCTAGAAATTGTTGAAAAGTTTTAAAGTTTATAGACAAACTTAAATAAATTAAAATACATACTATTTAATTTGTACGTCTATTAACTACTAATATACAAAATGACTCATTAAGTTAGTATACTAATTTTGGCAATTAATAGCTCTAAGATCTAACATTTAATTTCCATCAGTTTTATTTGCAATAGTTATTTACAAGAAATGACAACTCACTTGACGGCTGTGGATTAATTAATTTCTGGGAGAGAAGAACACCGAGTACGCGATTTACGGAAGAACACGGTTAACAGTGAATGACGCAAAGACGGACGGAACTGCTTAACTGACCTGTGTACGCGACGACTGCGAAGGATATATTACAAGGCAGTGGCTTTGCTCGGTGCATCGAACTCCTCACCGTGCCCCCCCGAGACTTCCCATCTTCTACATTTTACCTTACACATTTTAGGATGACAACAAGAACCGTACACTACTCGATGTCTTTCTTTCTATTTTCGCTACTTCCGAACACCAAATGCGGCCTTTGTTGTCAAGCTACACACGTTGATGCATCGGTTCACTACGATGTTATGATTACGGTGATATATCGATACGGTCAACTACAATTAAGCTATGCTTACAACACACGGACTAACATATCGACGGTAATGGCAGGCGTTCAATCTAAAGGATAGTTATTAACGATCGCCCACAAAGTTTGACCGATATTTTACCCAGATATGTTGCGTGAAATATTATTACGGCGTCAGTGATGACCAAAAACTGTGGTATGATATTTATGATTAATAATTTACATAAAAATCTATTACTAGGCAAACCTCAGCTATAGTAATTTATTCCAGCAATTACCCAACAGATTTCTAAATTAAACATATTTGCAATGGTTACGTTGTATATAATTAAAAAAATTGTCGAGAGACTTTAACGATGGCAATTGATGTTTCACCAAGAAAGTACCAATGAATTTAATTTCAATTTTTGGAAATGTAGACAAATTTGAAGATGATAATAATACTTTTAGTTTTGAAGAAATTAAATATAATATTTAAGATGCACAAAGCTTCAATGTTTAGAAATTATTCAAATTATAACAATGACTATGACTAGAAGCTTTTTCACCTGTAAAATTTATTAAGTAAACTTATCATTAATTGAAATGGATTTTTTTAAATATCATAAAGAAATGTTAAAAATAAAATTTGGGTTTATCAATATAAATGTTTACAAGCTTAATACTTTGAAAATTTGAGTCAAGGTTATTAATATTATTAAGAGACAAAGAAAATACATTACTTTCAAAATATACAATATTAGTCTTATTTTGTAGTTAATTTTTACTTAAATTCTAGTTGTTAGTTTACTAGTAAATTTAATTAAAAATTCATAACTTAATCATTTATTTATGTCATCTAAATCTTAATTTAATGGCTTTTCGCATTTATTTATATGTAAAAAAAAACAAATCTTTCAGAGTATTCAAAATTTTTCAAATTTGCACTTATAAAAACTATTTTGATCACGTTTTATTCGAAAAATAATATTTTAATAATAATAATATTTTACTATCTGAGAAAATTTAGTCCATTCAATCAAATATAAACTTTACCATTAATAAAGTGTAACTAATATGAGTAATAACTAGTGATTCTACAGAGTTAGATAAAGATATCAATAATCAATTGCTAGGTAGAAATATTCATTACTCAATCCTTATTTATATTTCTGAATTTCTCGTATAATTTACTATTAATCTTCTTCTTGCCTGTTTTTTACTAAATTTATTTATTTTTATCATGTATATGGAAAGTAGATAAAATTAAGATACATTTTTTCATAATTACGTTTAAATTTAAATTACTTCACATATCTAATATACAGAGCTTGTATAATTTAAAAATAAACTTACGTTTTTATGTTAAAATTATACTGTAAGATTACCATAATCTATAATTTGTTATTTGAGAAAAACTTTTTTATCAGTGTCGTAATCAAGACTTATTATCGGAAGGTGTTATAACTCCAAAAATAAAATTTTGTTATTCATTATTTTATTTTAAATTTTTGTTTCATATAAAAGTTGTTGTGCGACAAAATATATCTTCAATTAAATAAATGATTAAGATTATGACAAATTTTAATAATAGCCTACAATTTCAAGAAAAGTGGTTAAACCCCTGATTTTTAAATTGTGCTACTGATTATTAATGTTTAAAAATATATTTACAACTTTATATATATTTTCAAATAAAAAAATTCGTTGTTATATTTGATTGTTAGAGTATATATTGTATAATTACCCAGTTAATTGAAGTACCATATTTGCATCAAATGAGGTGTTGATCGTATATTTCTTTTGTATATGACTATTTATTATAAATTGGTGCCTTATGTTTTGTTTATGTTTTCGGACGTTATATTTTCCACTAAAAAATGTTCCCAAAATTAAATATCTAAAATATAATAATATATATAAGTAAAAAGTTAACCTAAAAAATAATCAAATATTGCGGATGTTTTATTAATGAAGAGTCATACAAATAATTAAAAAAATACAATAATTGCGACCTTATAATTACTATATCGAACTCAATTGTTCCTTATTTAATTAAGTTTTATCTATTAAATTATAAAGACCTAATTAAAAGTACTATTGTAATGATTTCCAGGTGAAATTCTATTTAAGAAAACATATGTGTGCTAGATTGATACTATTCATTGTTTGTTTTACCAAAATAAATATACCTAATATAGTAAACAACCTCTCCTCCTCAAAATAGTATCAACATGAGTTTTTTCAATTAAAATATACATGTTTAACTGGCATAAAATACGAAAATGATATAATTAAGAAAACGACCGGCTGTTAACAACTTTTAAATCAGTATTTTAGAAGTTATTAATGCTTTAATATATTCACCGAGGGTGAAGTGTGTATCTGTTTATTTTTATCTTTTATTAAATGCCTTTCACCCAAGTATAAATTTTCAAATATATTTTAAAATATTGGTTCAAAAATTATTATCCACCAGTCATTTTCTTAGATAGATAATTTTATTTTTTGAAAGTTAGTTAAAAGTATATGTTTCCATTTAAAAAAAACTACATTTGATACTATTTTAAAGGATGAGAGGGGGTAACACTATATTATATTATGATAATTAAAGTTGGTTAGATATTAATTAATTCTATACAAAAATAACTTTAAACAAAACTTAATTGTTATAAAATGTTTTGATGGTGATACAAAATATTATGTTACTATGAAAATTATAGAATATAGGATACTTTTAACTTCTAAAATAATATTATTTTCTACATTTTTAAAGATAATGTGTGAAGCATAGTTAATCAATCACTTTATATTCGATGAGCCAGTTAGAGTAACAATATTATTTCGCACATATTTTTACTTATTGGCATATTTCGTGATAGTGTCAGTATATACGTCGTATATACTGACACTATCGAATTGTTGTGCTTATTGTAAATATCTGATTGAGTAGTTTTAACTTATTATCAAATAAAATTGGCTTATGTTTTTTCCTACGTTTAAGTCAGTTAATAATAGTTAAGAAATTATTCAAGTAAATAATTAATCTTCATTGATATAATTTAATAATAATAATAAAATATCCCGTTATTTAGAGAGCTTCCTATGAAATTAAAGTAAAATCGATTACATCGCATAATAACTTAGTAATTGTACAAAATTCTAGATATGAGTATTATGGATATTTCTTTAGGTATAATCAGTGACCTAAAATTATTTTTTACTTTTTGTTTTGTATCTTCATAAGCGTATCTTTTTGTATAAGTATTCATTAAATACTCTATGGTATTATTACTGTATAGAATATAACAAAGGTAATACCAGTAACAAAATTAAATCATATTATGTTGTATTTAAATTTTTTTTTAAAGAAAGTTATATCAAATTTAGATTATTTAGATTAAGATGGATTTTATTTTTAGACTTTTTTCTAATTTCACCGATGCTGAAATTTAGAGTAGATTTTTTTTATTTTATTGAACATACTTTATATAAACGGAATAATCCATTCGATTTGAGTGCATCAACTCAATTTTTTTTATTAGTGTGAATGCAACGATTTGGTCGCTGTACCACTTGTGACCATAAATTAAGTTTATTCATTTTAAAAGTACAAATCGTATATATATATTATTGGAAAGCTTCTAAACTAATATGCTTTAAAACTCATAATTGTGATTATAAAAATTAATTTAGTCCAAAAAGAAGTGGTATAGCTTATAAATCATAAGTTATGATTTATCGATCTAATATAAAGTGGTCATAATAGATACTAAGGGTTTCATAATTACTACTCTTATCCTATAAAAATCTGAAAAAACATGTTTTATTATTAAAATTGTATGGTGGACATTAATATTATACATATTCTAGAATATAAAAAACCCAGCACAGGGGGGTCGCGGCACAGTTGTGACGTGGTATAGTTGGATCAAGTATAATGATATCTGACAGTGATTAAAATCACTATCAAAAATAAACGCTTCGATGCAAATCTTTAGATAGTGTTTAATTTTAAAAAAATTGGTGGATTATTCCAAAAGCTACATGATCTGCTAGTTCCTTATTAATATCCTGATTAAGATAAAGTATGTCAAATGAAAAAGGGAATATTAAAAAATATTATTTCTCAAAAAAAAATTATGTTGATCCATACACTTTTTAATTAGTTATAGCATTATAATGTTAAAAATGTAAAAAATAAAATCGAGAATTTTAACACAATAATAGCATTCGGTAGCCATTTTCGCCGTGAAGACAAGTTCAGAGGTCAAATTTTTTTTTTCAAATTAAAGTATACTACATTAGCTTTAATTTAAGATATATATAAAAGTGTCAGACCTTCCGGAACACTTTCAAAATTTAAATTGAAAAAGTTCTCATTTCTATATGCATTTTTTATATTTGAAGCACCCCCATATATAGGGAAATAGTCTGAATTAAAAAAAAAGTATATCCAATGAAAGATGTATATAAATAATACTTCTCATGAAAAAATTGTATTGATCCATACATTTTTTAAAAAGTTATAGCACTTTAAAGTAAAAAATGTAAATTATAAAATCGAAAATTTTCACACAAAAATAGCATTCGGTAGCCGTTTTCACCACGAAGACAAGTCCAGAGGTCAAATTTTTTTTTTTCAAATTAAAGTACATTACATTAGCTTTAATTTAAGATATATATAAAAGTGTCAGACCTTCCGGAACATTTTCAATAGTTAAGTTTAAAAAGTTAATTTTTTGTGAAAAAGTTGTCATTTTAAATCCCTCCCTGTGGGCAGAAAAAAGGTCAAATTTACAAAAAAAATATACCAAATGATAGATAAAGATATCAAGCATCTATAAAAAAAAAAATTATATTGATATGTTCATTTTTGAAAAAGTAATGGCAGTTAGTAGTAAAAAAAATTGAAAAAATTTCGAAAATTAGCGATTTTTAAATTTGTAATTTTTTTGGAGGTTTCCCCCATTTACGGGGAACGAGGGAAATTTTTTCAATTTTGAAGGGTAATGTCTTCGACTAGATAC